ACTAGTATTCTATTTTCTTTCCAATTTTACAATATTTTGTAACATAATTACAATTTTACTAGGTTTTCTGGCCATTAGTATAAATAGGACTTCATTATTCAGTGTATGAACCTTTTGACAAATTTACTATTAAGATATATTCGAGAGGCTATTGTGTTTTTCAACATTGTTCATTTTAGAACATTCTGAACTTATCAAGAGGATTCTTGTGGTGTTCAACACCGAGTGTGGATCACTGTTGTGTAATCAAGAGGTCATTCAAATTTCGTTTTTGTTTGATTGCTTGGTTTATTAATTCTTAGTTCAAACTCAGAATCGGGATTATTCTTTGGGCTTTCTTGAGATCTTCAATCTCATTGTGGGTTGCGTAGTGTTCATTGCTACGTGGTTTTCATCACATTTGAATCGAACTTTATCTGATCACTTACCTTTACTTTTACACTGGACTTCTGATGATGATTTAGGTCCTCGACCATTCCGATTCCTTAATGTTTGGATGAAGCATCCTGATTTTTTAGCCTTCGTCTCTCAGAAGTGGTCACTTCCTACTCATCTTACAGGGATGGTTGCTCTTTGGGAGAAGCTCTTCAGGCTGAAACAAGGACTACGTTGGTAGAATTGGCAGGTATTCAATGATTTTTTCAGCGTGTAAGGGAAGCTGAGGTGAGAGTTGATCATGCAGAGATTGAGTTTGATAGTGACCCTACAACGGAGCACCGTGGTTTACTTCATTATACACAAGCTGATTTAAACTAAACCTTGGCTATTGATGAGGGTTTTTGGAAGCAAAAGGCTGGTTCTCGTTGAGTGTGTGATAGGGATTACAATACTTGATATTTTTACTCTATGGTACAGGGCAGACAGATCAGATCTCGTATCAGGAGTATCACGAATAAGACATGGGAAGTTATTTCTACTCCAGGAACATTCAAAGCTCAGGGATCTCATTTTTTCAGGACTTATTATCTGCTCCTTCATAGCCTCTGGACTCTATTCGTTCTAATATTATACCTAGGATACTGATGGAGGCAGATAACATGGCACTAAACCGCATCCCTTCGATTGATGAGGTACGGGATGCTATTTTCAATATTGATGCTGACAATATAGCGGGCCCTAATGGATTTTCATCTTTGTTCTATCAGTACTGCTGGGATATATTACCACTATACCTTTTCCAGATTATGCTACCTCCCAAGGCCATCTTGAAAAAGTTGGAGAGTATATTTGTGTGATTCCTTTCAGACTCGAAGGATCATATACGTCGTCTACATTGGTGGAGTTGGAAAGAGATTTGTTTCCTACTGCTGAGGGTGGTCTAGCTTTAGACGATTATAGGATACGGTGGACACATTTCTCACTGAAATTATGGTGGCAGTTCATGTCTCATTGTTTGCTTTGGGCTCAGTTTTTACTAGACAAATACTGTAGAGGGACACATCCATCACTTGTAACAGTTTCTCAGTCAACTTCTACTATTTGGAAGAGACTGAAGAGATTTAGACCACGCGCTAAGCCACATATTGCGTGGCATCTTGGTTTTGGATAGATATTCTTTTGGCATGATCGTTGGATGGATGATTCTACATTGGCATCCATTTTCCCACACAGACAGCACACATCTACAAGGGTGCAGGATTTTAGTCGACTGTTACAGATCCTTCCATCAGTTATGGCAGAGTAGGTCGCAGCCATTTCCCTTTGTCTTGATGTCCCGGATCTCACTTTCTGGAGGGCCACATCAGATGGTAGATTTACTACCAAATCAGCGGACAGTTGATCAGCTCTTGCAGGCCAGTTCAGGATTCGTTTCGTCTACTATGGAGTCATATCATACCTCAGACCATTTCGTTCTTCTGTTGAAGATTATACCAAGATCTGATCCCAGTTGATGTCATTATCCAGAGGAGGATCGACATTCAGCAAGCTTCTCGATGTTAGTGTTGTTCTGCAATTGAGACCATCACTCATACTTTTACTAGTTACAGTACTTCAGATCTTGTTTGGCAGCATTTTAGAGATTTATTCTAGATTACTATGAAGGCATGAGAGAGTGTCAGATAGAGATTTCTGAGATGAAGGTATTCTTGACAGTTTGCACGGATCGGGCACATTCGTATCATTATTTCTCTATTTATTTTCTGGTTTATTTGGACCGAGA